ATGTTTTACAGCTGTCTCTTTTTTTTTTTTCGCTCGATATTACGACCACTGCTCCGTTTAAGCCCACATAATAAGCGTTTAGCCAGGAGAGTTCACGGTGAGCGGAGCTCCCAGTAAGGGACCGTCGAGAAATGCTTTTTTTTTTTTTCACTCCGTCCTGTGCGTTTTAGTTTAAACACAACTAATTGTCTCATAAATGAACACAAACTGTTACTAAAGTAGTTAAATGCTTTATTATAGATCTGTGCATTCTTACATTAACACCTCTGTTATCAAACAAAACACAATGAGAGATTCATTTGCTGCTCTTCACTAAATAACTATAGTAACTTTATTTAATGTGCAAATACAATAAAAAGTGAAGTAGATTTTATAGCTTTATTTAAATTTTGTATAGGCCATTGATTTTAATAGGCTTAACCTTTTATTTTATTTAATTACAAATATGTTTATTCGAAATGGCCAATTTATCTTTATTAACTTCACATGTATGTTTAAATGTGTAGGTATTTATGTGTTCCTTAGTTTGTACATGGGCTACCAGCAGCTGTGAGATTTCAGTGTTCATTTTTTTTATACAATACACTAGGAACTAGTGTACTTTTCTTGGCTTTCAAGTAAAACAAAATGAGTATTGCAATAAATAATTTTTATTTTTATATTTGGAAGTATTGTGTCTGCTAATTTCAATCAGTATAAAATTATTAATCATATTCAGTAATTAGAATGAAAGTAATTAGCCCCTGATGCTATTTAAAAATGCTTAGTTTTCTAAATGGACTTTGTGTTTTCTCTTGGATTATTTTCTGTCTAAGCATGTGGGATTGGTCAAACACACCCTTATGTGACAAACACGAACAAGGATTAAAACAAACCTAACACAATCTCTACATCCCCCAATCAAGTGAAGCATATTAAAGTAAGCTTTCCAATTGTGTATTAGAAATGTTTTTAGAAACTGTGGAAATAACAAAACATTTCTGATTTCCTTTATCTTGTTACAGTCTACTAATAATATAAAAAAAATTTCCATTGATGAATACTTCATCTTGTGATGCTGGATCACATGACAAGATGAAGTGTTTGCTGCACCTGATTGGCAGTAAATTGACTAGTTTTATCAACGTCAGCCAATGAGAGATCACCTCTTTGTTCGGACAGGCTATAAAACACACTCATTTGTTAGCAATTACAGTCAATAAGGTTTGTTTGTGAAAGGTAAGTGTAAATCTTTCTTTTTTTTATTTCCTTCATAAGAGACATTGCTTGTATTATATTAATGAGACAGTTACTTCAACTCACAGTAAAGTGAGCTGCTTGTGCTGTTGCCTGTTTAAAGTGTTTTGTTTATGTTTGTAAATTTTCTTTACATTTGCTTTAAGTAAAAATTTTTACTGTTATTTATTTATTTATTTTTTTCTTTTAGTCCTCCAGGCAGGATGATGTTTGCTTTGCTCGTCACGCTGTGCATAAGTGCAGTGTTTGCTGCTTCATCTATAGACATCCAGTTAGATGACCACTGGAACTCCTGGAAGAGCCAGCATGGAAAAAGCTATCATGAGGTGGGAAGACTGTAGTCTGTAGCCATGTATCAGCTTAACATGAATGAATGATACAGTGCATGTGTTTATGTTGAACTGGTGCTTTGCAATAGCTGATACTGTATCTACTTTCTACTCCAGGACGTAGAGGTCGGGAGGAGAATGATTTGGGAGGAGAACTTGAGAAAAATTGAGCAACACAACTTTGAGTATTCCTATGGAAATCACACCTTTAAAATGGGAATGAATCAATTTGGTGACATGGTGAGCAGTTTAGTATTACAGTCAATTACAGTCATTTATTTCTCTATCTATATTGCTTTATACAATCCAAATTGTCAAAAAGAGAAAAAAAAACAATCAAAATGCAAAATTCATAAGTGTGAAACCAGATCAGAATGTTGTTGTGTTTATTAAATGATTCAATTACAGTCAACAACATCCTAGATTAGAGTTTTAAGCCCTGTGTATTTTAATGGATTTTCTGCAAAATTACTTTAATTCTCAATTTGAGGTGCTATCGATACCTTTTAAAGTACTATTTGTAAGACTGTTTTATTAACATTTCACTACAATCTCTTTATTAGACAAATGAGGAGTTCAGACATGCAATGAATGGTTATAAGCATGACCCCAACCAGACGTCACAGGGCCCGTTGTTCATGGAACCCAGCTTTTTTGCAGCCCCACAACAGGTTGACTGGAGACAGAGGGGCTATGTTACTCCTGTCAAAGACCAGGTGAGTTTAAAGTAACTGAAAACTGCAAATGTTTTATGCTAAATTAGGACCTATAGTTGCATCTATTACAATTGATCTATTTACAGTTGATCTGGTAAACCCAGTTTAACATATAAATGGCTATTACATGTCAGTATGTGTATCTGTAGCTTTACTGTTTGGTGACTCTTCTGTTTTGTGGTTTTAGAAACAATGTGGATCTTGCTGGTCTTTCAGTTCAACGGGTGCCTTGGAAGGTCAGCTCTTCCGTAAAACTGGAAAGCTGATTTCTATGAGTGAGCAAAACTTGGTGGACTGTTCCAGACCACATGGCAATCAAGGGTGTAATGGAGGCCTCATGGACCAGGCCTTCCAGTATGTTAAAGAAAACAAGGGGCTGGATTCTGAGCAGTCATACCCTTATCTTGCAAGGGTAAGAATCATATTGTGACCGTTTCTGAGCAAGGAAAACTCTTTTGAGGCATGGGATTAAACTGCTGTATTTGCAGATTGTGGACAAATGTCATTTTAGTTTTTTAATCTCTTTGAATGAAGGTCATTAAGTATTTTAAGACTTCAATGTACCACTTTTTTCTTATTTTAACTTTGTGCTTGCAGGATGATCTGCCATGCCGGTATGACCCCCGTTTTAATGTCGCTAAAATCACCGGATTCGTGGACATTCCCAAAGGTAATGAGCTTGCCCTAATGAATGCTGTTGCTGCTGTGGGTCCTGTATCTGTTGCTATTGACGCATCACATCAATCCCTACAGTTCTATCAGTCTGGTAGGTGTCTGATATCCCTCAACTCTAGTTTTAATTCAATATATATCCAAAATGATTACAAACTTATTACTGAACTTACTCTGCCTTAACTCCTTTCTAATATTCTGATCTTTAGGCATCTATTATGAGAGAGCATGTAGCAGTAGTCGACTTGATCATGCAGTCTTGGTGGTTGGCTATGGTTATCAGGGTGCTGATGTTGCTGGGAATAGATACTGGATTGTGAAGAACAGGTATGATGCCAACAACCTTTAGTTTTGCGGGCACAAGCTTGATTGCATGTTTTCATATTTTATTTCTTTCATCTTTTTATAGCTGGTCTGACAAATGGGGTGACAAAGGCTACATCTACATGGCAAAAGACAAAAACAATCACTGTGGCATTGCGACAATGGCCAGCTATCCCCTAATGTAAGGCCACTGGAGCCTTCTCTGCATTCTGAAAAAGACACGTTTATGGTTTCTCTATTTTAATGTGTTTTTATTTCTTCTATTTTATCAAATTGTTCTGCTGTTAGGGCTATGATAGTAGTATTTTAGGAAATTCCATTTTTCTTGTGTTTCATATATGCTTGTTTATCCAAGAATGAGAATTCTGTACTGGATCTATTTGACCTGCAAATGGATAAATATTAAATTTTCTGGCATGGTAAAAGTCTGTACTGTATTTATTTGCACTTCATGTAGGAATGCCATAAATATTAAACGTTTAAAGTGTTTCTTACAGTAGACCTGTGTTTAATTTAATGGAGCAGATTAAGACTAAGCTAAGACTAAGCTAACTAAGCAGTTTATAACTGCAGCTACAAATGCTCTATTCTTGACCTATGAGCACCTATATAATGTGTTTAATAATTGTATTTTCATATTTAGTTAATGATTTATATTTCATTACTAAATGAAGTATGGCATTATTTACAAACCAGTTGTATTTAAGAGTAGTTGAGGGTAGGATAAGGTTTAGGATAATTCAGAATGAGTTAGAAAATGATTAATAAACTATTGAAATCAACATTTATATATCTTAATATTCAGGCATATACTAATAGTTAACTAATATGTTAATAAATTCTTTATTAACTCAACTTCATGCAGTTTTGTGACCTAATCTAAAGTAAGGACAATTTCTGATTTATTAATTCCTTTATAAATGACTATTAAAGGCTCAGAATCAAATGAACAATAATCCTGGCAGTCTTTTCTAAAAAGTAAAATTACTGTAAAGTTTAAACATTGCTGAATAACAGGAGTGTCAAAATACGACATAAAACTGGATAAAACAACAACAATGTAATAATTTAACAATATAACAGGATACAATATTTAAACTCTACAGTGATTTTATTTTAAATTAGGTTGCAAAGATTTATTTTTCATTTGAAGTATTGTTTCATTTGTGTATCTTTAAATGAATAGGAATGAATGTATTTTTTCCAGTCTAGAATTTAACTGAGCCTTTATTTGTCATTTATAAGGGATTTATAAAGCAAAAATAGTTCTTACTTTAGGTCAATAAACTGCATGAAGTTGAGTTAATAAAGCATCTATTAATATACATAGTAACCATTAATATATCCCTGAATAATAAGACATATAAATGTTGATTTTAATAATTTATTAATCATTTACTAACTCATTCTGAATGAGTTACCCTCAACTACTCTTAAATACAAATGGTTTTTAAATAATGCGATACTTAATTTAGAAATGAAAAATAAATCATTAACTAAGTATGAAAATACAATTATTAAACACATTATGAAGGTGCTTATAGGTCAAGAATAGAGAAATTGTAGCTTCAGTTATAAACTGCTTACTAACGCTTATTAATGTAGAATTAAAGCTTAACAAATAATGAATTCACTATTAGCTAATGCTAATTAAATGATTTATAGTGTGTAGTTATTATAAAGTATGATTAATAAATGCTGTACATGTGTTGTTCATGATTAGTTCATGTTAGTAAATGTATTAACCTTATTGTAAAGTTTTACCATAAAGTGTTACTGAAATTTAAAAGCAACATTGATCTATCTTGCTTTTTCTGTGAAATTTCCACTGAAAGTGTAGCTCACTTATTTTGGGAATGTCCTTTTGTTTAATCTTTTTAGATTAATGTGTTTGAATTATTAAATAAATAAATAAATCATTGATCTCGCCATGTGATTTGTCATTATGCAGCAAAATATGAGCCCCCATTGTGTCCTACCTGACAGCCTCGTTTGCAGGTTTGTGCGCCTTCCGGAGTGTCTGTTTTGTCATTATCGTGTCTATATCTGGGCAACGCTTCTATGTTTCTTTGTCAGTTCGTTGTGTTTGCTCATGTGTCTGTCTGTGCTCAGGACTGTGAGGAGTGGCTGCTGGACCCGATTCGTCTGTCTGTTTCCTGTTTGCTACAGCCCTATATCCCTCATGAACTCACTCATTTAATTTGTCCTGTCTAGTTTATTCTGACTGTGTCAAATAAACTTTTACTCGCATTTTGGATTCTTCTCAGTGTCTTTATTACCCGTGACAAAACAAACTGACCTTACTATGGATCCAGTGAGTATGTCACAGATCTCCAAATTCGTCTCACTCAACAACGCCAGGATCAATCAGCAGGATAAGGCTTTGGCTACCATCGCTCAGGCCATTCAAACTCTGGTCGGCCAGGTTTCCCTGCTCACTATTTAGGTCCAAAAGCTGGTTATTGGAGCGGCACAAGCTGAAGCCAGACCAGCTTTAGAAATGTTGCCAGCACCGGTGGTTGCTAACCGCTCTGCTGAACCTTGCCTTCCTCCCCCGACCTGCTATTCTGGAGAGCCTCACTTATGCCCGTCCTTCCTATCCAAGTGTACCTTATATATAACGTTGCAACCGTCATTGTTCTCCACAGAGCAGTCTAAGGTTGTCTTCGTTATCCTTTCTGGAAAGGCGGCTCTATGGGGACTACAGCCTGGAAACAAAAACTGCCATGCTGTGCTACTTTTGAACTGTTCTCCAAAGAACTCAAAAAAGTTTTTGATCGGGCCGTTTCCGGGAGAGAGGCCGCTCGAATCCTTGCCGAGCTCCATCAGGGGAATCGGAGCATGGCGGATTACTCGATCAAGTTCTGGACATTGGCTGCGCTGCTGAATGCAGCTGGAACACAGAGGCACAGTGGGGCATGTTCCAGCATGAATTGTCAGAACGTCTTCAGGACGAAATCTACACACTGGATCTTCCTAAGACTCTGGATGAACTAGTAGATCTGGCTATCCGAATGGACATCAGACTACTTTGTTGAAAGAACCGCATGCAGCAAGTGGGGTTTTCAGATCCAGTTTCTGACCCTCCGGTTTTGGCGGCGACAGCAGAAGTGAGGAGTGGGGAGAAGCCGGGACCTATGCAGGTGGGCAGATCTCGCCTGTCCGTGCAGGAGAATCGGCAATGGAGAAACGAGGGACTCCTCATTGTCTCTTGCCCAGTAAAAGACAACACCCATCAGTAGGTAAGAAGTTACTGATGGGTGAAATCAGTCTGGATAGCCTAGGAACTCATTGCAAGTGTTGAAGCTGGCTTCTGCTGATGAAACTGCAAACTATCTTCAGTAAACTTTATTTATTTATTTGAATCTCTGACTCCGGCTCTTCTTCATCTGACAGACTGGTCATTACTATTTTAACTGATATGTACAATTTTTTATTTATTTTTTTAACTTTATTTATAGAAGTTTTTGTAAAAACATAACACCAAATAATGTACATCATGTATATATGTTAACAAACTTGTCTCTGTGTTATTACCTTATACTAACTAGAACATGCACCAAAACACAAGCTAACATAACAGCAATTTTACAGCACCGTCACAAAACAATAAAGAAATTTTAGCCAGACTGATGGAATAAGAAACAAAATAGAACAACATGTAAAAAGGAAGTGGAGAGAAGAAAAAAAATTATTACCAGAAAAAAATATTACAGAAACATTAATAACCTGTACATCTAAGGAAGGGGCCCCATGTTTTGTCATAAAACTATTGTTTGCCAAATCTAGAGAAGCTTAACCTTTCCAACTTGAGGGCAGAAACCATTTCAGCTAACCATTTAAATAAATTTTGGAGGTGTTGTGGATTTCCACTCCATCAGAATCACTCTCTTGGCCAACACCATGCCAAACATAAAGGAGAGTTGTTGATGTTTAGGCCAAGTTAGAGCCTGGTTTGAGCATCCAAACAATGCTATTTCTACATCAATTTTTATGTCCTTTTCAAAAGCCTGGAAGTAAAGTCTGTAGATACTTTTACAAAATTCAGATACTTCTGGACAGGATCAAAATATGTGACCATAGGTCCCGACTGCGCCTTTGCATTTATCACACAGGGGAGAGACAGAAGGATACAGCTTATTAAGTTTGGCTTTTGTATAGTGCAATCTATGCATCACTTTACATTGAATGAGCTGTAGCCTTACATTTATAGAGTAAGAATGAATACGACTCAGTCCCTCCTCCCAGGTAGAGGATGAAATGTCAATTCCTAATTCCCTCTCCCAAGAATCTTTAAGATGTGCAGTAGAGACCGAGACGTGAGAAGAAAACAGTTCTATAAATTTGGTCACTAAATGTTTCTCCATTGTGCACTGCCTCAAAAGCTTGTACAAATCATGGTCAAGAGAGAATTCCTCGCACTGTGGAAAATTGTGTTTGATAAAATGACGCACCTGTAAATAACAAAAAAAGTGTGATTGTGAGAGTCCAAAAGTTTTATATAAGTATTCAAATGTGGCCAGTTTGTTATCTACATAAAAATCCTTTACTGAACGCAGTCCTTTGTTACTCCACAAAGTAAAGATCTTATCAAGTTGTCCAGGCACAAAATCATGATTTTTGCAGATAGGTAAATAAACAGAGGGATGCTCGATCTTTAATGCCATTTTCACTTGATTTAAAATTTGAATAGAGTTAAGAACAATAATATTCTTACAATGAACTTTTTTCAGTGATAGAGCTTTCGACCACAAAATTGCAGCCAAAGAACTGTTACCAACTGAACAAGCCTCAAACTGTAGCCACTTAGGACATATATCTGACTGATCGGAAGCAACTTGATCACACTCATGTCACGTTCGAGGTTAGGAAAAAAAGGAGCGAGGACCCAAGCGCAGAGTGAAGTAGGATTTTTTTTATTAATAAAATAAAATAAAAGGCAAAAATAAACAACCCCGAGGGGGAAAACACTACTACAACAAACAATAAATCAAACAAACAAACTTGACTGGGCAGGCAGGACAAGGCAGGACTGGACACAGCAGGACATGTAAACATCGACAACATATGATGACGAACTCGCACAGGACAGCAGACATAAGGGGTTTATAAACTGTAGGAAATTAACAAAAAAAACAGATGAACATAATTAACTAATAATGGGTTAACAAGGAGGGTGGTACTAGACAATAGACGGGAGAGCGCATGACACAGAAAGACAACACAAGCCATGCGCTCACATGACAAAGGACAAGAACATGCGGCCAATGAGAGAACTCATCAACCGCATGTTCATGACAAGACGAGCACAACACTGAAGCACACGACAAAAGCACGTGACCACAATGTAAACATCGAGCCACGTGCTTTGACAAAAGACGCAAGACACGAGCACACGATAAACACCTTACCGTGCGCTCACACATAAGCAACGAGCATGCTTCATCTCAGCGCCAACCAAAACTGAAACCAACTAGACGGAGGCGCCGAGAATAAAGCAGCGCGCTGCTGACAGAACAAACACAAACACTAGTACAAGAGCGCGCGCGTCTGAGGGACGCAGAGCGTGCGCGGCCACATCAAGCGCCAGTGCACACACTCTGCGTACACCCACGACGGCGCGCGCGCACACAGAGACAAAAACAGGACCAGACATGAGTAGTGTCAAAGCTCTGCCACCAAAACAAGAATTTACGAGACCAAAGTGGCAGAACCCTGACAACTCATGCCAAAACATCATAGCCCTCATGTTAGCTGCCCAATAGTATTGACGGAATGTGGGCATTGCTAGCCCTCCCGTTTCCATAGACTTTTGCAAATGAGGTTTTAAAATTCTGTGTGCCCTATATCCCCAAATGAAAGGAAAAATCACAGAATTTAACAATTTAAAAAAGGATTTTGGGAGAAATATGGGTAAATTCTGAAAAAGATTAAGAAAACAAGGCAAAATAACCATCTTGATGGCATTAATTCGACCTATTAATGATAATAGAAGAATCCTCCATTTCTCGATAGATAATTTTAATTTGTTAACAGCCTCTAGAAAATTCAATCTACAAATATCCTTAAAATGTTTAGGGTTAATTAATCCCAAGTAGGTGAAATTATTATCTACAATTTTAACAGGCAGAGATTTCAAAAATCCAAAGTCCAAGCCATCTCCCAGAGGCAAAAACATACTTTTTCCCCAATTAACTGAATAACCGGAAAATAAACCAAAAATATTAAGTGTTTCCATTAAATGTGGAAAAGCGGTGGATGGGTCATTTAAAAATAATATTAAATCATCACAATACAAAGATAGTTTAACCTCGGATTTTCCACAGGGCATACCTCGAATCTCAGAATGGGTACGTAAGTACATAGCCAAGGGTTCTAGGGCCAGATCAAACAGCAGCGGACTTAAATAACACCCCTGTCGTGTTCCCCGCTGTAGCTGAAAAAATGCAGATCGATCAGAATTTGTGAGAATTTGTTTAATTAACCTAATAAAATTTTCACCAAAGCCGAATCTCTCTAGAACAGAAAACATATAAATCCATTCAATTCGGTCAAAGGCTTTCTCTGCATCCAGAAGGAGTTACAGAAGGAGAACCTTCCTAAAATAAAGCCAGTTTGGTCGGAATGAATTAATAAATCCACATGTTTGTTTAATCGAGTAGCCAAAATTTTTGCGATAACCTTTTGATCGCTGTTAAGAAGACTAATTGGTCTATAATTAGCTGGCTCAGTATCATCTCTGTCTTTTTTATCAAAAGACACACATACACTTCATATAAAGAGTCAGGAAACTTACTGTATTTAGCTCAATTGAGTAATTTAACATACGAAGCTGAAGGGGAGCCAATGTAGATGCATTTGCTTTATAAAATTCAATTCCACACCCATCTGGACCTGTGGCCTTTCCACTGGGAAGGGAATTAATTGCCCCCAGAACTTCACTAAGATCGAAAGGTTGTTCTAATTCCTTTTTAGCACTATCACTAAGCTTTGGAAAGTTCACTTTATTTAGAAAGCTATGTTCCAAGTCACTCATCACTGGTATGGTTGAAGAATAAAGATGCTCATAAAATTCTGTAAAGCAGTCATTAATTTCTTTAGGATGCGTTACCAAAAAACCATTTTGAGCTCTAATTTGATGAATGGCACGACTGGCCTGCACCCCTTTAAGGTGACGAACAAAAAAAGTATCTGCTTTGTCACTTAGTTCAAAATGTTTCTGCTTAAGCTTCAATAGTACATTAGAGAC